ATCATTTCTAATTAAAACTAAGATACATGTTCTAATCCAAACTTACATGATTTTTCTACCATTTAAAAAGTTGTTTACCTTTTCAGTTTATTTAACTAACATACATTTATTAAAATATAAATGATTACATTGAATATGTCCTGTAAATATGCCGTCTCCTAGGAGAATAAATGTTATATCGTATCTAGGAAGAAGGGTGTCTGTTCAAACATGGCTTTGGCCAGGCACGGTGGCTCACATTTGTAATCCTAGCACTCTGGGAGGCCAGGGCGGGTGGATCGTTTGAGCTCAGGAGTTCGAGACCAGCCTGAGCAAGAACAAGCCTCCATCTCTACCAAAAATAGAAAGAAATTAGCTGGACAACTAAAAATATACAGAAAAAAAATTTAGCCGGGCATGGTGACACATGCCTGTAGTTCCAACTACTCGGGAGGCTGAGGCAGAAGGATTGCTGAGGTTGCTGGGAGCTAGGCTGATGCCACAGCACTCTAGCCCAGGCAACAGAGTGAGACTCTTGTCTCAAAAGAAAAAAAAAACAAACAAACATGGCTTTAAATGTAACATACTGATACAGAAATTACATTTTCTTATTTCAACGAATACACTTGCATATTCCTATCTAAATGCTCACATCATAAATAAAACTAATGTTTTATAATATTGCTGTTTATATTGTCAGTAAGACTGTATTTTTAAAGATGTACTCTCTATTTCACTGCATAGAAAGCCAGAAAATCCTAGGTCTTATCCTATTGCTGGGTATTGACAAGTTGTGTGACCTTAGGCAACCACCGTTTTGACCTGAGCTCCTGGGCTTTATTTTACTCATCCATAAAAGGTCCCTCTCTCGCCCTCTGTCTCTCTCCCCTTGACCCCCGTTCATGGTGAATCTAACACACTTCTAAAGGCAGCAAGAGAACTATCCCTGATATTTTACTAATGCTATGTATCTGTCTCCCTCACTGGTTATAAACAGTTCAAGAGTGAGTATTATGGTTCAAACATCTTTGGACATCCTCCTGCAAACACAGTATCCAGTACAAAGCAGATTGTCGATTAATGCTTGCTGAACCAAACTGTTGAACCCTATGACTCAAACAAAACCTCTTTAATAAATGCCTTTTCCATAAAATGTTCTGAAGGCTTACAGTTCAAGGGAGTAAGGGGATCCATCCATCCACAGCCAGGCCTTGCCGCTGCCGTTGCGGGAAAGCCCTGTCCAATAAGAGTAGAAAAACTCAGAGTAGCTCTGAGGCATGGCAAACTCCTGTGAAAGGCACATAAGAAAACCTTGAGCTTTAGAGGTGTTATTACATACGTGTACACAGATGTGTGGGGCCAGCACTTTTCATAGCAGAGCTCACAAATCTGGCCTCACATAGATGATAGTACATGTAAGAGAAAAAGCATCTGTGCTGAGGTCAGTGAGAAATTTGTCCACGTTGAACTTATTTTGTCTCAGTAAGTATGGAATACATATCGATATTCTGAAACCAGGAATCATATCAACTAAGATTCATACATGACATTATTTTCAAGGCACAGTTAACACTAAGACTGATACAAAAAATATGGGAGGCAGATTTATAAAGAGATGTGGAGTGATTCTTGGAAATGGAAGAATATGGAAGAAAAAGTGTAGGAATGCAGTAGTATCCTTTACAAATACCTGGCAAAGGAATTGACTGGGGATGAGAAAAGAATAGTGAACGTACTTTAAGGCAAAAAAAAAAAAAAAA